GCCATTTGTCTGAAACGGTATAGGGTTTCCTGCCTAGGCAGGGGTTTGGACTAGAAGACCTCCAAGGTCCCTTCCAACTCTGCTATTGTATTGTAAAGAAGAAAGAGGTATGATAAAAGTGTGGGTATGAGGAAGAAAATTTGTCTATGTGTTGAAATTCCTTAACTATAAAATATTAACAGGATTCATGGCCACTATCCCAGTATGTGGTAGTATTGATTGCACAACCAGAGTATATATTAATGCTATCACTTAGAAAACTTTTACCAGTACAATTGTCAATTAACTATGACTGGACAAAATATTATTTCTCCATCCTGAAACTACAGCTGGAAGCACAAGAATCAGTAATTTACCAGCACATAATCTGCACACAATCTACAAATCAATATTTTGTACGTACGTGTAATTGGTGGCTTAGGCATCATAGTCGATATGTCTTGAGACCAATACAGAGGGACTGAACCTCGCACTTGGACGTAAGATGAATAGCTTCCGGCAGAAAATGACATTACTGAAGCATCATAAAGTATTTGCTCAGTTTCTACTTCATTGGCTACATCTCCCTGCATGAAAAAAGCAGTAACTTTATGATATTTCACATTATCAACAAACGTCCTCTTCAAACATCTCATCACTCAATTGTCAGCGTAGTTTTCATTTTAGCATAGCAAAAGCAATGATTGATTACGATTCGTGGCAATAAATAAGATTATTTGGAAAAATGTCTCACTAATTTCATTTTGCTCTCATCTACACTGAAATTGTAGTTTTTCCTTCTGTTCCTAAATCTACAGTTACTCCAAACCAGATATCATGACTATAGGAGAACACTGTGCTTCAGAAGTATCTAACTATGCATCCCCCAGTGTGGTCTCCTGAAAAGAATTCTGTTGTGCAACTAGAAATAAAAAATCACTTCGCTATACAACAAACTAATATTGATGGAGTGAAGCAGATGATCATGATATTAAATATAGCTCTACTTAAATTCTATATTCATATGGTTGATTCAGAAGTGCCATTGTACTGATGGATATATTACCCCAAATAACATACATTCTTAATATCTACAATTCTTAGATATTATTCACATTTGCTTGGCATTCGATTATCTGAAGTGTCCATGGGCAGAAGAGAGAAGAAAAGACTGAAGGGTGTTATCATTAGAACAGAGATAGCCCCACAGGAGATAAAAAATACCATACTATAATTACAGATCTCCAAAACTTGGGGGGGGGAGCCCTTGCACCTTAATGCATATTTAAGAAATCTGCTTGTGTAAATGAGTATCAATATATTCCCAGACATTACAAAAAAAGGTCAAGGAGTTTGGAATAAATTCCTAGATTTGCAACCCAATTAAACAGTTTGACTTTGATGTTACTGTGGATTTATGATAAAAATATAAATTCTACTAACTTGTCAGTGTTTTGCCAGAGAAATTTTAAATCTGAAACGCATAAATGAACATTTCTCTGGGCACACAAAAACTGAAATCATAAAATTGCAACACACATAAGTATATTGAAAAGCCTGGAATCCCTGCATCTAACAATAACAGATGCAGAGATTTTGTGATTTTATTTAAGGTGATTGATCATATTAACAAAACAAGTGAAGTATAAACTAGAGCTTGTCTTGGCCCTCATGATATACACTTTCCCAAAATAAGAAAAAATATGATTTAGAATTTTTTTAAAAAAATTGCCTAAATGGCAAAACACAGTTACCACCAACACCAAGCCTGCAGAGTGGGAGCAAAGTACATTTCATGCAACATTTTCATACAACAATGAAAAAAAATCTCTATTATATGTATTACCTCACAGTTTGCTCCTCTCTTTAAAAACCGTGTTCCAGCAAATTTACTTGATCTTCTAGCTATCAAAGTGACATACACTGGACGACCATAAATAAGCAGTTCTTGGAATCCAAGATAAGGTTTATAAATATATGTCATTCACTATCCCACATTCTTTTTTTAACTTCCTTTTAGTCCTGGCATATACATAAATGCAGAGCAAGCACGTCGTTCCCATTTTTTAAAAAAAGAATGTTCCTTTAGTCTAGCAACATGACATTTTAATCTTTCAAACTATCCTAACAAAATACAAGAAAGGCAGAAATTCTATTTTAGAATTGAATGCAAAAATATCAGGCACTGCTGTTAAAATTGTATGTTTTGTGCATCCCTTGGTGAACACAGGTTAAGATAATCTCGGCATGATACAAAATTAAATGTTGTATCTTTTGGGAAATCTGAAGTACATTCAACCATTTCAAGATTCAAAATAAGAAAGCAGTGAATACAGCAGGTGCAGAAGCTTGGACACCTTTCCAATTGATTCAGTGTAGCTTTTGAAAAACATAGTAAATATCAATAAGGCCTCCAAATCTGTTACTCATTACTCCTATGGCACAATTAGTCAGACTTTCAGCGCAGTGGTGGGTTCCAGATCCTGGTGCAACCGGTACGGTGCAACGGGGCCAGGCGTCCACTACATGCATATGCACAGCATGCGCGCAGCACATGCATGCATGCATACTTACCGCCTGTGATGCTCCAGCTGCTTGGCGGAGCATCGTGCAGGCGCCGTACGTTTCATGTGTGTGCGCAGAAGCCCCAATCGGCTCAAATACAGGTAAGGAGTGCGGACAGGCGGGCCCTCCGGAGCACAGTACCGGAACGGTACCTGATACTCCAATCAGGCACTGGTACACCTGTACCGGGGCATACTGGTTGTATCCCACCACTGTTTCAGAGATAAATACATACTCTGACTCTTCTAAATCTCTTCTTGTGATTGTTGCTTTTTCTATTTTAATAACCATGGATTCCTTTAAGCAACTATCCAAATATTTGAAAATGAAGGCAATTCACTTGCAAATCAGGTTAAGGTTTATTTTAAAAAATGCTAACTATTTTCAATTGGCAATTTCAACTGTGAGAAACACTGCTTAAAAAGACCACATTTTTAAGCTGTTGAATTCAGGACAAGATAATAAACAAATCCCTACTAGAATATCATCTTGCCAACTATTAATCATGAAATGGCTTTATTATGCTGTGAGCTTGTGCAACAGCCACTAGTACAGTAAATATTATGTGGCCAAATAAAAAAACAGATTGTCCCAAAGGTGCTTTTTCGAAAGGCAACTGGACTTTGTCCTTCCTTGAAGATGTTTCAAGGAAAAACAAAGGACTGAAGAGGCTTCTTGGATGAGAAGCAAAATGTCTTCAAGGAAAAACAACATCCAGTGACCTTTCAAAAAAGCACCTTTGGGACAACCATGACCTGGATACCTGAGAATTTCTACAGACAAAAAGAACAGATTCAATTAAATATTAACATGATGGCATTTTTCCTAGTTTTCTGAGCTAGACAATTTTTGTAAGGAAGAGTGGGGAAATGCCAAAAATCAGGATAGAAAGACTAAAAAAGTATAAAATGATGTATCATTGATAGTTGATGTCAGCAATACTATCTAAAATATATTCAGGTATTTCTAAGTGTCTGTTGTAAATATAAGCAACATGATGAAATATTTATCATGCTTGGTAAATATGTAAAAAAAAGATTAAAATGAACACACTGATCCAAAGGATTTTAAAGAATAATATTCAATTAAAGACAGACCTTTTTCCTTTAGAATTAATGGACCCAGAGTTAGAAACGAGTCTTGGAAGATTATTTCAATTTATGATCACTGGGCAAAAGCTATTATATGTACAAAGATGGAAATATTTGGCACTATCAGCATGAATAGTTGGTAAAATTGACTGAACCTGCTGAGATAACCAAATTGAATACTTTGATTAGAGAAAGGTCATTATTGACATTCATCAATGACTGCAAACTCTTTACAGACTTTTTATATTAAAAAAGAAATGATTTTCTGACTTTGGGTTTTGTTGATTAGAAAAAAATAGTCTATAGAAAGAGAAATATGATGTAAGAGAGGGATTGATTAAAACTGTATGCATAACTATCAAGAGAAAGATCAGAAACCATTTCTTATATTTCTGTTCATGTTTGCTGCTCTGTTTTTTTATACCTCTTTTTTCTTTTTTTTTCTTTTTTCTCTCTTTCACATTTACTGTCTTTTTCTTTGAATATACTTATTGTATAGGTTAAATCTTTTAATAAAAACGATTTTTTTAAAAAGAAAAGGAAATGCACAAAAATCACATTGCTCCTTCAACTGATTTACAAGTAGAGGAAAATGTATATATGTACTCTGAAATAATAAATAAGGTCTCAATTACTTTGGTATATCCATTTCCATTTTTCGGTTGTATTAAAAATGCATTTAATCATAATTAAGTTTTGTTAGCTATTCTACTATCTGCTCCAAAAGGAGTATGCTCAATTATTCCATTGCAAGCTAATTTCACAGTGAAGTCCAACACAGTCATTGTGGTAGGAAATGAAGTCTTTATTTGGTCTTTTGTTTCTTCACTGGCAACACTAACCCCATTCATGATTTCTCGTAATAGGCATGCTTAGAATAAGAATTTTCCTTCATTGTGCTTCATTATCTACATGTAGATGAACACTGAAAATTTGTTTTCCAGCTCTTAAGATCTAAGAGGTTCTTTTACAAACTGCTAATTAATTTGTGGGTGAGTTTAATAGCCACATACAAAAGACCTAAGGTAGGACTTTATTGTATGTTACCATGATTCAGTTTTCTTTCTAGAATAGCAATTTGCTGTTACTGTAACAAACATTAATAACTAACAGAAGAAGGATACTCGACTGCCCACAAAATCCATGAATAACATACAAAAGCCAGTCTCGATGAACTGCAGTTTTGACAACATCAAGCAATTTCCCATTCCATACATATTTTCGGTAAGGGTCACTGCAAATTCCAAATACACCTGAAAAATTATTGCAAAAACAATAAGAACATTATTTTGAACCTTACATTACATCAATTATTGTCAATTTATACCACACACATGCAGGACCTATTTAGATAAGTATCTGTGTTTATTAACTTGCAATATAACTGGTGAATAAACAAAGGCCAGAGGTTCTGGCCATGCTAAGGATATTATGGAAGAGAAACAGAATTTTCATTGTGTTCTCATTGCATAAGATTATGTCTCATTGCATAAGATTAGACAGATCAGAACTCCAGAAACATTTTGTTCACTGCTAGTGGAAACAAGATATTTATCTATATTACTTTTTGAACCGATACAGTAGAGTTCTTCCCTTCACACTACAAGGCCAAGCAAGGCCTGTACATTTTTAAAGGAAAAAAAGGTGAAGAGGATATATGCCATGGTTGGAGAGCATGTTCCTTGACACAAAAAGGCATGCAAGAGAAAGTTCTCACTCTTCTCCAGTTCAAATTCAAGGATTCAAATTCAAATTGAATTCCTTTAAGGAATTCACACTGTATTGCTCTGTTGACAGGTTTTCAGCAACAGCATTGGAAAAGTGACTACTCTTCCTAATTCTACACCAACCCAAATGCTTTATGAGACCTTACAATCTTCTATTTGACAGAATAGGAAGACACCACATGCACCCTTTTCTACTACATTTAGGGAAGCAATCAGTAGTAAAAGGGCTTCCATTTGTTTTCTTTATAGAATGAAATCTGTATGCAATCTTCCTCACAACTATGTAATACTTGCCTACTGCCTAGATGAGACTATAGGGCCATAAAATGTTTCCAGGCTTATGTTCTACAGATATAATGAACTGTAACTTGTAAAAAATTCTCAAGTTCAAGAGAATTTTTCACACATTTACAGCAGTAACTTGTGAGAAGAGATATCTGGTATAAATAATTAAGCATGATTTAATTTTAATTACTTGACACAGTTGAAGTCAATTATCATTGTTTATAACCCAAAGGTATCAGAGAACTATACTTTTTTCCCCATTGGTACTGGTCATTAGCATCTATTGATATTAGTTATATATCATAGGAGATAGGTTTCTTTATAAATAAATCCATAATCACTGATCCTTTATATAAAGGAATTTTCACAAAATAGTAACAATCACTTATTTAAATTATTCTCTTAACTTATATGCTAACTTAACCAAAATAAGAGATCAATAATTTATACAAATTGTTTTGCTTTCAAAGTCAAACTAGGTATAATGCCTTATGTAATCCTTTGTTAACTCTGAACACTTTTAGTGTAATACTGATTAATTTAAAGAGCTTCATGTCTCTGCATTAAAAGCATTACAAAATTAGACTTAGCTGTATGAAAAGGATACTTACAATTTCCATTTTGAGTCGCAAGTCCCTCATCTTCAAATATGTCAAAACACTCTTGACGAGTTCGTGTTGTTTCTGTTTTAAGTACATCTAGAGGCATTCTCAAAACTGTAAGGTTATATTGAAGGGAGTGGGACAGATCATAGCTATAGCTAAAATTTGGAGGAAAAAAAATTAAAAATCTGAAAAGAATTACTGGCCATCATACTGAAAAATTTCAGTTATCCAAAACAAGTTGCTTTAATTTACAGTACTGTAAATTGGGGTTGATGAGCTCCCTTCCCCTCTCGACAGGTATGGTTGTTGGTTATTTTTTAAATACTTGTCTTGTTTTTGTATGTTCCCTTCCCCGTTTGAGTTGTTTGCCACCCTGAGTCCCTGCAGGGAATAGGGCGGCATATAAATAAAACAAAACTTCAAACTTCAAACTTCAAA